TGTTGACGTGCTGTTTTCAAGGACATGCCACGATAAGCTTTACGGCCTACATAATCCACAAAATCGACCAGATAACAATGTTTAGTGTATGCACTCTAAGACATCCCGCCAAATAAATTACTCTTGCGCAACGTAATTAAAACAATACAACAGAAATGTCAAAAGTTGAAAAGGGCAGACGAGCACAATCTTCAGGAAGTAATTTGACGAATGGCCACTCCTTTGTGCAGTAAACTTGGAGCGGGCAACTATCCGTCGAAAAACAGTTATACCTATAACAACAATAAAATATGACATAACTTACGGGGCCGGACGTGTCAAAACCAAAGAAACTTGCACTCATTATATCCGTACACTTCACATCTTCAAACTCAGAAAATAACTAGATTGCTTTGGCTTCTGGGACACACAGACTGAAAATGGGTCACGGACCATTCTATTCTAAAGATAAAATAAGGGGTAGTAGATATTTTATCTTTATGTTACCTGGCATTAAAAATGTCTCCTGTAATTTGAAATATAAATTCTTCAATTTTTCAGTATTTTAAAAATATAGCTATCTGATATACATAAGTGTAAATACACATTAGTGCAATGTTAATTAGGACGATTGACTTCCTCAACCTTATTTGGTAATGGAATCTTCTAAAATGATACGCATGCGTAGAGTTACAACGAAAACGAGGCGGACAGCATTGTCGACCAGAAAAACGAAAATTTGACGAAAATTCCCGAAGACAAAACTATCAATAATTTTTCGCGTTTGGCAGTTAGATTTTTTTCAAAAATAATCTGCGTAAGTTTTCTATCACATCTATAATTTTCTGTGTAACTTTGAATGGACGAAAAACCAGACGATATGGAGACGAACGAAGTGACGGAAGTAGGTGTAATGTCGGAAGGTATCGACATATCCGAAGAGTTGCCGAGCAGTGATGACGGCGTACATGCTGTTTACACCAATACTACAGAGCAGACAGCAACAAGTGACCATGTTTTCACGGCAGCGACACCTGCAATTTTAACGGCTGAGGGTCTTCAGGTAAGATACGATATGCAACTGTGACGACGTTTTGTTCCAGTAAATGGGGTAACACTTCGAGCGTACTGCATTTTCGCGCCCCTGGCGTGTCAGTGCAATGCTACACAACGCTATAGTAGTACGGTCCGTTCAACAGCAGACAGCAATGTTTGCAGTATATCAATTTTCATTTTCCACGTGTTGTGAAATGTTACATTCTTATCTCTGCGTTTTCGATTTTCTGCATTATTATGGAATATTCGTAGAAAAGTTCCCAGTTAAAATTAATTTGCATAAAGCTTAACCTAAATATTTCACGGTGTCATGATAAGTACACGTGATCGTCGCAGGTAAAAACATAAACACTGACATTCCATATCACTGAAATGAACACATTGCAAACAGTTGGTCAAGCTCTTCCTTCTATTGTAGTTCTATTGACAGTTGTGAATAGTGAACATAGGCGAAATCAAGTCGATATTGAGGTCGATCTGATCATCATACACGCTGTAATGATACTAGCTTTTGACACCAAAGTTACATCCAGTTACTAAGTATTGGCGCAGCAAGTTAGCAAACATGGATCATTAATTCGCCAAACACTTTGAGGACCTACTATTTGAATGTTATTCATTATTTTGTCACAATTGAATGCTAGATATACCTAAAAAAAAAAAAACAGTGTCTAAAATAAGTTTATGTGGTACTACAGGAGTGAAAAATATAACAAATTGTTTGCAAGGGTCAATTCTGCTTTGTTAAAACCAAAGATGTTGGCAAATTAGTGAGCAACTTGCTGTCCAATACTTCTGAGACTTGCCTTAAAAAAACTAATTGGAATTGATTGTTTACTGTGGCTATCAATACACCAGAAATATTTCTTTTTTTTTAAAAAAAAAAACATTTACACATCACCCAAAGGAATGGAAACAGTTACAACTACTATAGAAAAAAAACGCACCTCTATTAAATAAACTTGCAATTTGAAAATGTTTATTTTAACTGATCCAATCCCCATCCAGTATTTCCTTTAGTTTCTTCAGTATAATTTATTAATATCATTCTAGCATCACTCAAATGTATTTGTTTTTTTGTTGATCACTTGATGATGGAGTTGGCTAACAGAGGCAAATGATAAGTCTTGGAATGCCATTTTTAATTACACAAATGTTCTTGGGGATATTAGAAGGACCGCATTCTGCAGGGGTTATGATATACTAGTAGTTTAGGGGTTAGAGTTAAAATGATTAATGTCATATTAAAGTGGTAGCATATATCAAACTTCAACATCTGTTCTGCACCAATGTGAAAAATATATTTACTACGCATCGGGGATGCAAGTTAAAAAAATTCTTAATTTCAAAAACTGGTAGTCCAACATTGTTGGGTAGTTCAACCTCTAGAACAATGTGAAAATTAAAGACATACATTTATGCTTCTGGGCTTGAAATTTAAAAAAAAAAAAAGGTTTTGGAAGCTTGAGTCGCCTCCGCAATTTAAAAAGCTGGTAGCCGGACAATATGTTAGCTAGTCCATCAGCAGTCACTACTCCAAAATATGCACACAATTGTGAATACAAAGAAATACAATTTTTATACATGTAACTAAATAATTCACTTTGTGTATAACAATGCATACTTAATTATTTTGGTATATCATCAATGACAATATATTTTCAAATCTGGTTGCTTTGGGCAAATTATTTAGAGAAATGGTAGTCTTGGTATAAAATTTTGTAGTCTCTATTCCATGGCTACTGTTATTTTGAGTCCTCTACATACATGTACATACATTTATAATAATAAATCTGACAATTTTTAACAAGTTTTCTGTTTAACCATTTTTCAGGCAGTTCAAGAACATTTAAAAAGCGCACATGTAGTTACTGTAATTCAAGATAACAACACTGTGGCAACAGTCTCATTAGATGCATTAAAAGCTCCACAGACACCCCAAACACCAGCTACACCTGCAACACCAGCCACACCACATTCTGGTAAAGATAAACCTTCTAAATATAACTGGGACGATAGTGTGCATTTACCAGTGCTTCCTGTCAGATGCAAGAATCAAAGCGCAGAACTTCACAAAGTAAAACTTGGCTCTGGTAAGTATATACCGTACTTATCCGGGTAAGAGCCCATGCCTGGGCAAACGCCCACCCCCTACTTTTGACACAATAAAGAAGTTGAGGTCGTATCCGGGCACACGCCCAGGGGGTCTTTTTCTACACAAAAAAAAAATATTTTCTATTTGTTGAATGTGGTTGTATTAACAGTTGACTTTCTTGAAGTCTGTCGTGATACTTGAACATGAACGCAAAATAGCTGTGACAGCCATCTGCCTTCAGGGCAGCGCGTTCACCGCTGATTTTTTTCAGAATCATAACAGTGAAGCAAGTCTATAAAAATGTATATTAAAGCAGAAACAGTTCTATTTTTGAAATATGTCATGGTCTGTTTGGTTTGTGCTTCCTTAAAAATGATTCAAGCAAATCGTACAACGAGAGCCGCTAAGCAAGTGTCGCACTCGTTCGGCTTTTGCGTTGTCGACAATGAAACCAGTGTTTAAACCTGGGAGAGTGGTTGAAATCACGTTATTTTGGCTTTATAAAATTTTTTGTAGCAGCTTGCGAATCCATAACTGGGCCAGCAATTTTGCAATGTCACGCCGAAGACTGTCAACTTTTTTACCATCTTTCATCACCACTATTGCATTTCTGTCATGAAAACTATTCTTCTGTCATTTGATATAAAAATAAAACTTCCTATTTCAAGTCCACCGCGATATCCATATAGTGAGACATGATTCCAACCGCCGGAACTTGCTGAATGATAACTTTCACCGTGATTGATAACCGTTGAGTCTGATAAGAAAGTAGTGTCACGATTTGACCTTTATGATGAAATACTTAGTGATGTCATTCTTAGCCAATCAGTAAAGCAGATGCATAAAGGTCAAAGATGATTGCCAGACTGTAAACAAAAGCGT